CATCTCAAGGAGGAGCTCCTTCCTTGCATGGCTACCATTTGCAGACAGAGGTGGGCTGAGTGGCTGTTGAAGGAAGCCAGGAGATGTCCAAGGGTTGGTCTGAAGAGCTTCTCCAGGTCCAGGGACTGGTCTTGAAGAGCTTCTCCAGAGTCTGGTGGTGTGGGGAAAGAGGGCAGCTGCTTGATGGAGAAGAGTCTTTGAGGCAGGGTGAGGGGAAAGACAAGTGGCTTCACCTTGCACCCATGCCATTGGTAGGGCTGAGACCAAACCACAATGCCTTTGTGGTGATCGATGTGGCCCTCTGTTCTTTGGGTTACAGCTGGGCTTGGAGACTTTCAGGAGAAATGTTCATTCAGGGACAAATCCTGCGACCACAGAGAAAGGCTGAAGAGGGGGGATGATGTCCAGCTGCTCTGCTTGGTGAGTGGGGAGAAGCAGGGGGAAGAGGAAGAAATAGCAATAAACACGTCGCCTTCCTCATGGAAGGCACCTGAAGAGGCGAGAGCAAGGAAGGTGAGCCACGGTTGACATGGACCAGGCTGGCAGACAACAGGCATGCAGAGGCTGTGGGCATTGGGGTCATTTCTGGGGGCTTTGGTTTACCCAAGGGCATGAAGACATGAAGTGAACCACAGCTGGTGACATCCCACCTCGGGGTGTCCAAGTAGAGCAATAAGTTGTCTCGAGGGCAGCAGTGAGAGTGTTCATATTTGCAGTCAACGCTTGCGGCCAGTTTCAGTTATTGTAAAATCCTTATCCCTACACCCAGCATAGAAACAAGGTTTTTCTTCTTTTTTTTTCTAAGAGGAAAAAAATAGTTGGTTTTGATTTTTCCCTCAAGCGTGCCAAAAGAATTGCATTCACATGGAGATGTTTGCAACTCTCACATCTCCTGAGCTCTGAGGTCATCACAGTGGGACAAATCCAAAGCCTTTAAAGTGGCTGGGATAGATGTGTGGATGGGGATTCTTCCTGGCGCTGCTTGGTGTAGGTTTCCAACCCATGTGTGGTGTTGAGTCAGCACCCAGATGTCTCTGTTGGTTGCTTTGCTTTCGTCATGCCTGGATCACATCTCCAGATGGAGGTGAGGGCAGTGGAGACCAACTCAGGAGGGTCACCTTGACACCTTGACTGGGACATGGTGGTGTAGAGGTCAGACTGGAGGGTCTTTCAGAAGAACAAGGTGACAGGTTGTAGGCACTTGGGTGAGACCACCTTGTTCTTGGTGATGTTCTTGGCTTCTGCTGCCGTATGGGAGGAGCTACTGAAGCTCCTTCCCATGAGCATGGTCCAGACAGGGAGAAACAAGCTTAGGGACCCAAGAGGACTTTTTCTACTGCTGGTTGGCCCCTGGTGATTTGTCAGGTTAGGTGTTGGCACCACCACTTCTGTATAGGGGTTGTTTGGTTGGTTGGTTCTGCTGTTTTAAAAGGAAATTTAGCAAAGCTCTGGTTGACCTTCCCAACCTCAAGGAAAACAAAGTGGGTAAAGGCTGAACATCAGCGCTGTGAGGTGGGGAAAATGGATTTCTCCTGTGTAGTACTTTGGGTTTGTACAAAAGGAAAAGAGAAGGCGGGGTGGGGAGAGTAAATAATCAGAGGGTTGCCCCTTTGAGCTTGGTGAAGCCAAGGGTTAGCACATAAAGAGCAATGGGACATTTGGAAATAACAATACTACATTGTCCTTCTACTGTCTGTTGCATGCTACAGTTAAACCTGGGTCAAAAATACCCCAAGTAGATCACAGGAGATGAAGACCTCTCAGATATCCTTTTTTGCTCTTGCTGTTGGCATCACATTATGTATCAGGGTTGTCTCAGCATTGAAACATGTAGGGTAGAGTAAGCTCTAGCCAGTGTCACGGCACTACAACTTGCAGGATCCAACAGACTTTGTTATCTCAGCCTGGGCTCTGCAGAGAAGGACCTTTCCCAGCAGACCTCTGCAGCAGACACCATTCTACCACTGGCCTAGGCACCCTTCACTGCATTAGGAATGACTGTAAAATTTTGTCCTATGGCTAGGAAGGAGATGCTAGGCTTTCTCCTGAAAGGAAACACTAAAAGTGGGGTAGAAAGCTTCAGGAGCTGAGCATGGGATAGTTCAGTTTTAAGTCCTTTGCTTGGATCAGTAGCAGAGCTGATGCTCCTCATTCTGTTATGCCCAAGCAGAAATCCTCTTTAACTCAACCGGGGTGTGAAAAGGTGAAATATTCACCGTCTGTTGGGTGAGAGGCTTCGATGAGCACATGTGGCAACCAGTATTGGGTTTAGGCTTGGACAACTGCATGGCTCCAGGGCTACCACATGCCTCTGGAGCCACCATACAACTCCAGGCTTGGGTAGCTCCTTGCTAAGGTGGCTTCATGGGGCTGTGGTGGTGGGGAGATGCCCTTTGCCACTGCTTGGGGATGTGGAGCTTGATGCCCCTCAGCTCATTCCAGCAGTGACCTGCAGCCCTGTCCTCTTCCCCTTGGAGGGATGTGGGGTTTTTTTGAATAGATGGGAGGAAAGCCCATGATCCCAAGACCTCTCCTTGGCCAAGTCATGGCTTAAGTGAAGGTCCTGGGGAGGTCGCAGCCTGCTGGGGGATTCCCTTGGGGAAAGGACACTGATGGAGGCCACCAGCGTCTCCACTATTTCACTCCAGCAAAGCTTTGCTGATGTTGGGTAAGGAAAAGGAGTTCCCACAGTGAAGGAGGTGAAGGGTCACAGCGGGTGGAAGAGCAGGAGGCATTAAATCTGGCAAAGTGTCTCAGAGATTAAAATTCCAGCTAAAGAGGAAGGAAAAATAACTTTCAAACCACTATTATGACCATTAATTCATCCCTGGTGTTATCTTTGCATTAAAACACGAGGTGTGATGTGAAAATCTTGGGGAAAAAAGGCACATTAATAGTGGTGGTGGTCCCCAACCCTTGGAGCCCATACCCATCAGGCCTCCAAGCGGCCGAACCCTGTGGGTGAGGATTTGCTCCTGTATTTTATGAAGAAGAATAAGAATCCAGCCCAGCTTTTGTGCAGTTTCAAGCTGTCCTTACCACAAAGTGTTATTTAAAGTTGTTTGTTTTAATGATCGAAGTTTCAGGATATCAGGTTTTCCTCCCTCTAGGGTCCTTCCCACAGTGACCACCTGCCTTCGCCTCTCTCCCCTCCTGCATACCCATCGATTTGGGACAATGTGGTCCCTGGCTGAAGGGCATAAAAATCAAGTCTTGCTTTCTTAGAGGGAGAAAAAAAAACACATTTGGGGTTTATTTTCAGTAGGAAAATCCAACCAGCTGACAATAGCAATAAGCACCGCCAGATACCCATAAATCCAGGGGTTTTTTATGTTGGTTTTTTTTGTTGGTTTGGTTTGTTTTTTTAATTTTCAGTATTTTCAGGCCTTCCATCTCTCATTCCCAAAATGTGGTGACTCTCTGCCCATCTTCCCTTCACCACGAATGAGCATCGGGCTGGCTCCTGAGCCCATTGGGCTCCAGGTATTTTCTCTGCCATCTGCTAGCATTTCCATAGAGGGAAAAAAAAAAAAAAGGAAAATAAAAGCTGATAAGGAGCTTGGGAGGGAGGAGAGCTTGGAAAAGGTGTTTTGCCATCATGCTACACCATGACATTTATAGATTCACCAGTAATTGTGTAAAATAACCTGTTAGGGGGATGTTTGCAAAGCAGGAATAGCAAAATACATGGTTTTAGGGCAGCAATTCCCAGTTGAAAATGCTCAAATCGTGCTGGTTGTAGGGAAGCCATCGGGAAGCACAGCGAGGAAGGGGCAACGAGACTGCAGGGTGGAGGATCATGCCCAAACCCCCTCCCATTCCCATAACATGGAGCAAACCCGCACCAGGCTCCTACCCCTCTGTCTATGTAACTGATTTTTAAATTCATTTAGACCACCAGGCCAGCTCCTTTTTAAATATTATTGGACCTCTTAAGCAAAAATAAATATTAAACAAACAAACAAGTGAGTAAAAAAATTAAACCCAAGAGTAACCATGTCTTCCAAGTCTGAGTCTCA